TATGACAAGGCCAGACCACATACATCTTTAGCTACATGACAAAAATTGATAAAATTTGAATGGGAAATTTCAATACATCGACCGTGTAGCTCGGATCTTGCACTGTAACACCATTACCTGTTTTGATCTGTGCAGACTACCCTTAAGTGCACTAATTTAGTTTCAACGGAGGAATGCAAGAATCACTTGGCACAATTTTTCGCCCAGAAATTTTACGGTGATGGGATTGCAGTGTCATTAGTAAAAAAAAAAAAAAAAAAAAAAACAGAAGAATAAAAAAGTTTAAAAAACGTAACTCACCTTTTCAGGCAATCAGACCCACAATACGCAGCTAACTCAAGCTGAGTAGTATCTCCTTCAATGTGAGAAACAAATATTGGTACAATCCCTTTTAGCCCAGGGGGATCAAGGGCAGACATGTTGGCGGAAGAGACCTTTTCTTTTTGAATCCTTTCCTTTTTTCTTGGAAAGCTTAGAAGGTCAGCATCAATGTTGAGCTCATTTCTGAAGTACCAGGGGCAGACACGCCAACAGCAGACCGCGCTATTACTTCAGTCCTCGTCGCGTTCCTATTTCGCCTTCGCCTCGCACTAAGCCTCCCTGCTTCAACCTTTTCGCCCCGTTATTTGGATGCCACAAAAGCAGGACTAATTGACCAGGCTGGCTCGAGTCGCCTCCAGCAGCCCGAACCCCGTTTCTATACTACTACTCCCTAAACGAGCATATTCATGCGGTGACATGCGCAGAAACCGACAAACGTTAGCGGAAAGGCTTTCCATTCTCGAAGACTCGCGTGTCGCCGTTGCTATCAAGGGTCTTTTACGCTCCTAGTATCCTCGCGTTCCTCTCAGCTTCGCTCAAGCCCTCTCTTTGTTTATCTTCCCCTCCTTCACGCTGTTCGCTCTTTCTATCGGTCGCGGTATCTCATTGACGTCAGCTATTGTCCACACCGGAGTGTTCTCTTTCGGTGCACGCCTGAGGCGGCTGCAGACTGGCAAACCTCAACCCCGGTACGCATACGCTACTATCCGACCAGCAGCAGCCATAGGTAACGTACCTGCCTACACCCGATTGGAGCTGCAGAAACAGAGAGCTGCGGATCTACTGGTTAAAAGCGGCAAAATCCGTTCTGAAGCGACTCTTCTTCATTGTCCGGCAACGTACCCCTTCTGCTTCCGGACGTCCTCCAGAAGTCGGCTGGTGTCGACAGTCTTGTTCCATCGCCATATGTCCTAAACTACTGCCGCATGCGGTAGTCCCGCATGGCAAAGGTCAGTTAGACGATTAGCTAAAAGCTCGTGACGCTGATCTTGCTGCACGAATGCATCCACTCTCTTATAGCTAAGCGCAATTAGTGTGTATTTACGGGAGTGACAAACAACCCTTACCCAACGTCTCGCTAAAGCTTCATTTACGGGAAGTTTCTACCAACAGGCCGTTTAGAGTTTTGGCAATGTAGAATATAAATAGTGCTATTGCCAAATGGATCTGGATTTGTAAATCTGCAACCAGTTAACCCAACTCCGAAAAAAGGTGGGCATTGTGGACCTCACAAGTATTTTGTTTTCCTCATATTAAATGCTTTGGGGCCCTAAGTTGATTTTTGTTTATCGAGAAACAAAACCATCTGTTTGTACGAATCAGGAACTTAAAAGCATTGTCATGGGTGTACGTAAAGCAAACTGATAGGAACTTCTTTCTCATATACTTACTTAAAATATTGCGTGGTGGGCGTACACACGCAGTCAATGATCTGGCATGACGACTAGGCAAGAAAGGTCTGCAGACCTAAAGTAAAAAGAGTCCGTAACAGATATTATTTATTTGTTCGTCATTATGGACAACTTTAAAAAAGAAATACTGCTAAAACTCGAAAGATGATCAATTTTAAAGTAATCAGTTATACAAAGCGTTGCTAATTAGGTAGATATTATAACAAATCGTTGGATCGGGATTTTTCCTGTGGTCCTCCTGAGCCCCGTCCAAGACAGAACAGCTTCAAGTTGAAAAAATAAGCGAGCACAACATTTAACTGTTAGTTCTCCAGGTTGCCTTAGGTTGTTGTCCTCTAGCAATGGCGATTTATCAAATAGGATTCTGTCATGCGTATTAGAGAGCGAAGTGGCCGAGGTCACACTCATTTGCTTGCAATACTGTTGAGTATGATTGTTGTTGAGTATGTTGTTGAGTATGACGACCGTTTATGAATACTTAGCGTATTGCGGTCGTTAATAACAACGTCTTGACACGCAGTTTTGGACATGGTTCTATTCGCGGTGTAGATACGACTTTTTATTAATTCGGTGATCAGATCTTCAATAGTTACGCAAAAACTGAACGCGTTATTATGGATGGTGTTTTCAGCTAAACTGAGTTCAAGTTATTGAAGCACAAATCGTTCTTCACCGCAAGAGGCACTTCAGAATTCGCTTTCAGTGATGGCCTAAGTATCCAACACTCTGTCTAAATGTCTGCAACGCATATTTGTTCTCTAAATATAGCTTGTTTTAATACAAACCCTCGATTAATTAAAATACATATTTATATATAGTTCTTTAGTGCTTTCCAAGGCGCGTAATCGTGATATATTTACCCACAAAACATGGAACTCGCGATGTGACTTAAGTTTGAAGTCAGCCGTAGACACGCTTCGGCCCGTGTTGTAGGGAGCGTACTGCCAAAGGCAACCCTTAACAACATACTTGGACGTAAAGCTAAAAACGCTTATTTTTCATTATTATAAGCTATTGTTAACCGTATGTTTGGGGATACATGCACTTAAGCTTATAGATCTAATCTAATAAATAGAAGAGTACATTTAAAAAAATTCAAGTTTTACCGTACAATAATCCGAATGCCAATTCTGGATACAACAGATAAACCGATATAATGTAATAAAGATTTACCAAGTAACCGCTTTCGTCATGTAAGCAAATCGAGAGCATCAATTCTCTTTTAGCGGTTTCAGCGCTATTGAAGATTATTTAGTTGATTTTTTTTTTTATTAAATAAGGCCAGTAATACTATCATTTTTTATCTTATTTAAAAATAATTCATCAAAATGGTCGTTTACATGTGAAATAAATTATCTACGCTTACGAACACGGTAATATCGGTCTGTGTTAGGTGTCGTCGCAAAGCTGCCTTTATGGTATCTAAACGCCTTTTGTTCTTCTGCTACCAAGTAGCTTTTAGGCTAGACTGACCTGAAACGTACTCCTGAACACAACCTTATCAGCAATGAACGATAGGCCAAAAGTAGTATGAGTTGCCTAACTTTGCTGAACTACATTCTTGACTCAAAAAAAAAATTTACTTTTGTCGAACTTACAGATGGTGGCACATCTTAGATAAGCAATATTTTATTGTGCCATGTAATACTGTTATCCAACGCAAGTTAATTCCGTATCAATAATGGTAAATCACAAGTTTTTTGAAACTGCATTCCCTGAAAAGGCTTGGCTCGGTGTCGTCTTCTCTAAACAGGTCCTGTCAATCTTGCGGCGAATATTATGAGATAATTGTCGTGTTCAAGTTAATTTGGGATGGCTAAACGGGAGGGGCGGCTGCAGAACTGATGAATATCCTATATAAAGTACTTTTAACCTTACCTGAGTTTCGTTGATAAAGAAAAATAGCGCAGGGTGCTCCCATTCTGCTTATCATGGCCCACGAATTGCCTCCTGCCTTAAATTAAAATCAAAATATAAACATGTTACAAGGGTTTGCAGTTAATTATTCGCATTGGTATAATCACTTGAGTCGCACCGCTAGAAGAACTGAAGGACGCCGTTTAGGCTGGACAGTAAACTGTGAAGGCCTGAGATAGGCTACACAGATCGTGGCCCTTTCTCGTTCGCCTCATCCAGGTCAACTATCTCGTTAACCGCAAATGGGAGTTGATTAGTATGCTACCGTGTTGCTCTAGCTCGGGGCTGTGTCGTAATTTTTGCGACCAGCAAATGAAGCAAACTGAAGTTAGAAATGGTCGAATAACCACAATGAACTTATGGAGGGACACTTTCAATGCAAATACCTGAAACAGTACTATTCTGATGAAGTTATGTAACACCGAAAAGTTACACTGTCTATGGATCCTTGACATAATCAAGCTGAACTGCCGGTTGTTCCAGAGAACGCTAACCAAGTGGCTATAAGATGCTGGCAACGATGAGAAAGTGAATATCTACGGAAATTTGCTGTCATGTTAGAGGTAAACCGTCGAGCTATATGCCCAGTATATCGAAAGGCGAAGTACTCTTATCGGCACACTGCTATACCCCTCAGTTGGCTATCTCGCTCAAGATTAAATCCCTGTCTTGGATAGACAAGGGGCTCGCAATGCTAGCCAGTGTCACTGCGCGTTACTTTGAACAACTGGCGATTTAAGAACAGAACATAGAATATAACAGCATCATATAGAAACGATCACAACGCTGTCAAAGCAGAATACATTGCAGTGTAAAAAATGATCGACGATGGGCTTAAAACACTTTGTAGCGTGTACCCTTACAACGCGCCTAGAAAGACAAGCAAAATCCGTTTCGGATCGTACCCATATCGACCGCTGTTTGTATACATACTACGCTTGATTCAGGATTCCTATGACAAAATCGTACCCTCTATGCGTATCCACCAGTGGCGCTTTTATCGCTACTGAACGTGCTTCCGATAGGTGCCCAATGGCGATCGTCTACGATAAGAAGGTTAGCCTTGTGGCAGGCTTTCAAACAAGAAACGTAGGGATCACATGAAAATACTGACAGATGGAAACAAGTTAACCTATGGAACGAATTGGGAACACTCCGTTGAACACTCGGTCTTTTTCATCTGTGTGTCTATCCGCCGTCCTCGCACTCGTTGTCGATTGCCCTGTTAATCCCCAAATCTCACCGGTTACCATTTAAGTATCGTCTCTATAGCGGTGCTAAATGCTGTTTTCATGCGTATCCCAGCGTGCTTAATTATCTTTCTACTTGAGTGCGGTCTGCCAAAAGCCACCAACTGCTAATCGCTTTGGAGTACTTCGAAACTATAAATGTAGGGTTCTTCGAATAACGTCGAGCCGCCATGAGATCAGAGAATCACACGAGCATACATTTATCGGTTTCCAACGTGGCCAGCCGTCAAACGATAGTAAGTTAGTGAATCGCTCCAATGCCCTGCTGCGTCGCCGCTAGTAGAGGTTCCTCCGGCGATTGTTAAACACAGGCAGTTATTTGTTATTACTACGTTATAAAGCGTCACCGTTTAGTCGTCATGCAAGATGTCGTTTCTATCAAGAGTAAGTATACGTATTAAGTCGATCCGTGGCGCGTGTCTGTTAGGCAAGCATTGTAAGATACGGAGTTTTTCTTAAACTACGCGCCACGGTCTTGAACAGTCGCTGAAACTTTTCAACGCATTGAAGCACTGTGTCTCACCTTTGGAAAGGCCACTGACGTGCAACATGTGTCTTTCACAAGACCTTACCTCTGCTCTTTCATCATTTTCTCGCCCGTGTAGATGGTGTTCTGACTCCGGCCGCTTTGTGAGTCTAGCTTAAAGGAACCTATTGCGGACATTTTAAAATAGGTATCCTTGGGCTGTGTTTCGTTTTTTCTTACGAACTGGAGTAATGGCAAATGAAACTTGGAAAAACGTGCAATATGTTTTGTGTAAGGGACGAGTTGGAGCGCTTACGACTGGTGCTAATGCTTCGAAATGCTTTTGGGGTCCAATCTGTAGGTCAATGTACAGGTGGCAACGAGGGGGATTTGGAGACGACTTTGCCTATGGACAACTTATCGCAACCAGTTCAGGCGTGCAGAAAACGTGCAAAAGACAAAGTCACCTACGTACCAATGTTGACCCGTCACCTTTAGAAAACTCGCAAAAAAATTACATTTTCCGCATGAATCACGCCGGACTATTTTGAATAATCATTTGGTCGAAAAGGCTCAGCAAAAGGATTATGCCGATCGACCTAAATTTTGGGCAAATGCAAGCCAGTCAACAACTGTCTTGAGAGAACCTTGACACATTCAAAAAAAGAGCCACGATTGCTCTAACGTATCATTAGAGGTAACGATGAGTTGGTGGACGGGCATAATGTAGGGGCAAAATGACATTTGTCTGACTTGAATATTAAAGGCAGGTCCTGATTGAAAAAAGCTGTAAAATCTAAACGAAAAACCTTTTCGACTCCATTTTGTATTATTGAAAATTTTCAAAAATACTCCAGCCACGATAATACATTTGTCGGCTCGCGTGTGCCGTTTCCTGTTGCAGGAATTTACGTAATGCCTGGGTTGTCGTAACTTCCATATTCAGCATATCTGTTCCATAGACCTTTCTCTACTTTTCAAAGCTCACAAAGCATCTGAAAAGAGGAAGGTTCCGGGCAATCGAGGAACTTAGAAAGTACTAATGTACAGGCTTTATCGGCACGGTTAGGTTTAAAACTGTTCTCCTGAGGTACGTCGATTGAATCCGGCAACGATTAGATTGGACGACAACAAGTAGGTTATAGACAATTAAAGTTTTCGCAGTTTTTAATAGTAAAATTTTTACAAATAAGAGTATATTGTTATTACATCGAGTTTGGAGATCTAGCAAAATCAAATATGTCCTTCATTACCTCAACAAACTGACAAAATCTTACCTTTTAGTGTGTTTCACATCAAACTTAGAATTCAACTATGAAATCAATGTTGATTTGTATGTAGTAGAGATATCGGTTGTAGTAGCATTGTGGTTGTGTATCGTAGTAAACGTGAGGATAGTAAAAAAAAAAAATGCTAAAGAAAATGGATATCAAACATAAAATTTCCCTTTATCACGCTATCGTTCGGCACTTAGTAGTACTGAATATTCGGAACGATCTATGGATACGAGAGTTCTGATTTGCTACCATTTATATCCTTGAAACGAGCCTTTCCAAAAATTATTCATAAAAATGGGCCAAAAAGAGTTTTCGAGACCCAGCCGGATCATAAGCCATTTTTCTTAAGCGTGCAGAGGGTTCTTTTCATCGTCCACGCTTTCAGTTGGTCGATTTGTTGTTGAATTTCTAAGCGCACGGGTCGTGTAGTGAGGTGGTTGCAGTGTGATCTTTTTTGCAGCACCTATAAGCGGTCGAATTATAGACCTTTTTCAGCTTTCAAAATGAGTCCTTTTACGATGAGAGAAAAATCTTCGTTCGTTGGACCCATTTGGAAAATCGCTATGCGCATTAATACGATCGACCGAATCAACAGTTCGAAGCAAAACTGCGGGCGAATTAAACCAAATTTTATCCTACAAGTATGTGTACCTCGACAACTTATTTAGAACTTGTTTTTTATTTTTTTTTTTTAACTATTTTCGATCCTTCGATGATCTGATGTATTTCGAAGAGGCAAGGTTTTGGCAATAATCCCGCGGGCCGCATCGATTTTATTTTCCCTTTCGTTATCTCTCGAACTTGTGTAACCTATAGATATCCGATCCGATATATCTCATAAGTGTCTTGTTATTAGATATATAAGTAGAAGAGGCACACGGCGTCAGGTGAACAGGGCATCACTCAAACACACCGTACAATTAACGAAGCACTTTTATATACAGATCCCGAGGTTACAGGCTGTCATTTGCCTGTGAAGGCTCTAGTGAGTACTTTGTATAGTTTACTTGGACTTACGTTACAGTGATCACGTAAATAAGCGTTAACAATAAACTGAACGTTCGATTCAATTGGTGGCATAATCTCCACTGAAAAAGCTCTTTCGATGGAAGCGGTATGGGGCGTCTCTCCAATGGAATATTACATTGCTTTACGAAGGCTTGCTATGATATTTCTGGTGATACCGCTGTTTGTTTCAACCGCACCACTCGCTGTTCATACTGAAGTATCATTCAATATCTAATACTGTGCCCCTCTGTAGTTTATAGCCGGAACATTATACGCTTGACCCCGTGAAGTAACGCAAAACTAAATTTGTTTCTATATGCTACCGTTGTATAGTACCAGAACCTTTACAATATCGGCACGAGAAACTAACTGGACGGTTTAACATATTTTGTACACGATATAACTTCTTCGATGTAGTATAACGTAATATTAAAGTTATGTAGCAAAGATCTTTGATGTTTTTACATTTAACGAAATATCATACATTTAAGTAGATCCGGTCCAGTATTTTTTTCATGTGGAAAAGCTATACGTTGTAGGTGAGACCGCTGTGTGATCTGATAGCCAGCGTGTGCCATATTCAAGAAGATTCATTCTTCTTCTAAGTACTTTGCTATGATCAACCTACTAAGTTCTGTTGCCCGTAGAAGTTGCATCCGTACTTTCTATCAGCGTTCGTCATACTATGGCTGACTACGTTGGCTTGCTGCGCGTGCCAGCTGCGCCATTAACTGTACAAAACGCTAGTAGATCATAAATGAAATAGTTATAGATCCACAATAGGCTATTAGGAAGTTGAGGCTCTCTCGAAACTTGTCACTGAATATTTCACGAAGATGCGTCTCGAAGGATGCTCACATTTGAATCGTGCCCTTAAGTCAATCAGAAGCGTCGGGCATCAATCAGTTATATTTTAACCCTATAGTCACCATGTGAGATGTTTGTAAATACGCGAATTATGATAGCTTGAATGGTTTAATAATGAATGGTTTTTTTAACGCGGGCGATCTGCTCACACGCGTTGAATACTGTTATAACTTTTCATAACATGCAGTTGACTCCTATCACAAGTTTATCTGGTATAAGATGGTATTGACCATTTGTAAGTAAACTCATTTCTATTTTCCAGCCGTTTATTCGATCTCTGAGTGTTGCGTAAACGGCTAATCTATATTTAGTATTTACGTTGCCTTCGTTCCATATAATTTGGATTGGTCTTGGGGTAACTTGGCCAATTGCCATCTTTTGGCAAGACGATAAAGTCTAAAGTTGCTGTTGTTGACGCTTTGAAGCGATTAAAGCACTTCGGGGGCATTCTGTCATTTCTGTAAATATGAGTAAACACATCTCTATCTATGATTGGCGTAATACTATGATTTGTTTGTTTAACATTAATACGGCATGTTAGAGCTACTTATCACAAATTATAACCTCACTCAACGAATGTCTTCGAACTTTTTGTAGCAAATCTCTCCGGGACTAGACTTTGTGCAAGATAATATATAAGAAACTCAAAAATAATTTTAAAAAAAAAAGGTTAATACTGTTTTTAGGCGAATGCTAGATGTAAAATGATGATCCAAGCCAGACATCTCAGTAGCTAAATACGATACGGCTCCCTAAGAAACCTGCCCCTGAAGTCTTAAGTTCACCTATTCCTGGATCATTAGCGTTTCATGCAAGATTAACTCCTTACATTATTTATAGAAGAAAAAAAAGTAAAAAATAGAGGACCAGCTTGTCATTATACAATATGGCAATGCATTGTAACGTGGGCATTCGTACTGCCATTTACCTGTGGTGTTTGTATTACGCAGCATATTGTGCTAAAACAAAAATAATCTCTTACATAAGGCCAAATTGTACTTTGCCAAGCTGCGGTGGTAACAAAAAGTAAAGTCAAGCTATTTAATTACCGATATACGGGATGGGGGAGATGCCAAGCTACTCACGATATAAGAATTAGGTTTAAATTATCTGAATATCGGTAGGTTGCTAGCAAATTTTTGTGCTTTATACGAGTGGCACTTCAGCACAGCTCGTTTAGGAAGAATAAGGTAACCGGTACGTCGTCAACATCATCAGCCCAGGACGAACCCAAACCCCGATCGTCGAGTAAAATATTGCCTCGGTCACCTACAGAAGTTGTTCTTTCACAACCTCTAATCGAAGTGTCGCCACGGCCTTCGTATAACACGCCAGCTCTAGCTGGGCCTATGGCAACCCGAGCCAGCGTGACAAGCGGTCGACACTCGAATTCAACATCTAATTCATCCAGCCCAGCCCCACCGAGGAGACTAACGAGCACTCCAGCTCGGTCGAACGCAGACTTTGTCAAGGTACAGCAAAAGTTTTAGAAAAACGCTTCTTGTTGGCAATACAGGTTTCCCGATATTGTTTACCATTTTGGTCAGTGGCAAACAAAAACGCGTATATTTTTTTTTATTTTATGTCTTTATTCTATAAAAGATACTAAGGCTACGGACATAAAATTTTACTATAGAATTACTATAGAAGGTGCTGCTATGCACTACTGCGCTTAGGTGGTACTACGCGATTTCCCAGGTTGGGCACATGATCATCTGGTCTCCCTGCGAGGGGTACCTGCGGGAGCACGCTGCTCATCATGTGCCTGTGTAGCGGGCACACTATTTAAAGCGCCTTGCACATGTGCCTTCTGTACCGTTTGCCTACGGAAAATCGGTATGGAATCTGTTGTCCGGTGTCGGACGCATGGATCCGATACGCTACGATCAGAGGTATATCTTTTCTGCAGTTTTTTTAGCAGCACAGCGATCATCCATATTATTCGATTAATATTCAACTTATAGGTTAAGTTCAAACTTATATAAGTTTGAACTGAATCTTCTTACGTGTTTCATTTCTATCGACTTAAGCTCAAAGCTACACTGTTCAAGTTGCCATTTTTAACATTGCCATGCCGAAAACTTATATCATATATTATAGCATTGGCAGTTTACTTGAGATCTGTTGTAACAATATTTTGATGAATCCTTTCCTTAAGTTCGTGGAAGATCCGTACGTTTACACATTATGCATGGATTTAAATGCAATGTGTATTTGGAACGCTGACGGATGCAACTTCGAAGGATCCCTCATTAACGTGCATGTAAGCGAAGATTATTTACAAGTGTTTTTAAAACAACTATGCTACAACAGATACTAATAAATTTATGGGAAGGTCCAAATAAGACGCTTTTGCTTCACTTATTCCCTCCGTAAAGCCCACGTTTAGCGCGCTAAAAGAGTGGTATATAGTGTAAACATCTTAATTTCTATTTTAAATTTCAGGAACACAGCGAAGGGTGTCTTTTTCGAGAGGAAACTTGTCCGGACTGTGACAAGTGCGTCTCCTTTCGAGCTCTGGCCTCCCATCGGGCTGCCACCTGCACTCAACGTAAAGTAGCCTGTCAAATGTGTGGACAGCATCTGTTTGCTTCGACACTTGAGGTAAAACAAGATCTGAATAGGACAGCGAGCCTGATTGTCGACGGCTGCCCTTCTTCCCCCTCTCGCTGCAAGCGAAGTTAAAAACGATTCTATGACATACTTGAATTTGAAATGCATTCTTCACCCATGAAGCATATGTTGATGTGCTTAGATAAGGGTGTTACGTACCTTTTTCAATCGAAAACATCTACCTAGAGGGTAAAACTAGCTTCATATCGGAAGTGGTACGAGCAAACATTCAACCGAAAATTAACGTACAATTAATTTTCGACGAACGGTTTCAGATTTTTGTCAAATACGTCATACAACTATTTGGCTCACAGACACAAGATGTTGTGATAGTTTAATTTGCAATAATGAATGTAACCTTTTAGCGTCACATAAGCGTCTGTCCAGATGTCGAAGTTCTTTGTCAGCTGTGTGGTCGACGAGATATCAAACGCGGTCAAAGTGAGGTTCACCGTATAGAGTGTACCTCCATGAAACGGGCATGTCGTTTACATGTGTTCGGATGCACACTCAAGGTCAGCAAATTTCGATTATGTCTTCGAGTTCCATCTGAATTCAACAGAGAACATTTTAATCTGTTCTGTAAAAACTCAGTGATTTATCACGTCGTGCATAATCTTTCCTCAGTACCAACCACCTGTTCACCTAAACGTCACAAAACAATTCGTGTCTACACTTCAATCTAGCTTTTTTTTTTTTGTCAGTACCATAGCTTGGACAACAGTTAACTCTCTCATTGAAGACGCCCATAGTTGACGCTCGGCGATGTAAGAGATGGGAAGTTCTTCTAAGTAAACGATCAAGATTTTCGCTTTTCAGGCAACGAGTAAAGAATTACGCGATCACGAATCTACGGATATTCATTTAGATATGATTGTTTCTCACGCTGGTCGGCAGGAACAAAGGCTGAGAAGACTTGAAGAAAATCAACAAACGATTATACGAGGAGCTTACCAAAACGTGACTGATACTGTCGATTCAACTGCGTTATCTAGTAATGAACTCCTGAAGGTAAATTACGTTACAGTAAATTTCACACTTCCAGGTGCCACCTTAAAGGTTCCCTGCTGTCAAAATAAAAACAATATTGTACTGCTGCAGCTATCTAGTATCAACAACAGAAGTGTTTATTCTACCATTTTACATGATATATCACCTAATATATAGGCACTCTGGTTGTACGTTTGACAACCTGACGTAATACGTCCATTTCGTCTGTGTCACGCCAACGTACCCGTATACGCTGCCATGATAAGTTCCTAGAAATGTCAACTATTCAAAGCTTATCAAGTAGATACCAATAAATAAAATGGCGAAAATATACGATTAAAAACATTCTGTTATTCTACATTTTGTACGTTATGCGTTTAGTCGATTGAGGTGCTGCGTTCGCAAGTGTTACAACTTTCGAACCAGTTGAAAATGATCAGCAACGCTCTGCTTGAGGACCCTTTCTTCTGGAACCTCTGTCCCTATAAGGGTATTCTGGAAATTGCTAGCGATGGGGCACAGGTAATAGGAAAGGATTTCCCCAAGAATTGAATAATTTCAAACAGAGAAAAGTATATAACTTGACGATGGCGATATATAACTGCGACAGGTTAAGTACATTTGGCAAAAAACAATATTGTTTTAACTATTAAACAAGACGCTTTGGAAAACTCTGCATCTGCTTGCCAGGTTCTCTACAGCGACAGCTTCTATACACCGACTATACCCGGATATAAGGTGCAACCGGCCTCGCGCTTCACGATATTCAAGTCACTTCCTCACCTAAACATATATCTATTTACGACTGTGCCCAGAGGGCATACGGTATTTGACGCAATCTACTGTCGATTAAAGCTAGTCCTCAATACTTGTTGATCACGATACTCACGCACATGGCTGCATACTTCCCTAAATTTATAGTGATATATAATTAGTCACAATTTATTACTCGTTGAATATTTAAGTCGTAGAAATGTCATGAATCTCCTTAGCAATACTTATGTAAAGCGTTTATTCGATCAGGGTCTTGCTTTGAGTTGGGGGGTCGCTTTTCGGGGTGACATTTCTCAGTGACATTATCCGACGTTTGCTAGACGTGTACGGAACGAATCAGCTCTCAACCTATAATAAATCGAACGGACACCACATACATATTCACTGCCAGCAATATATTTATATGGTAGAAGATCCATGTGCTTCGCTGATAACCAACCTCTGCCTTCACTGAGCAGATGAGGCTTCGCCTGCTCGTGGACCACCGAGCACGTCTTCTTCATTTAACTCCTCAGCTGCTCCCTGGGGCCTTCAACAATGTCATGCCTTGGCCGTTTCCGTCACAGGTCTGTAAAGATTCAATAACTTATCACATGCCTTTATTTTCACAGTTCTAGCATGGCATGTTATCTAATTATTAATAACTAATGGATAACTACGAAACTCGAGAATTTCCGCATCTTCCGCTGGTCTTTTAATACAGTTAGGACAAAGAATTTCGCTCATTGACTTTAACACTGAAATGTCGTACCCCGTCGCGCCTGTTTAAAATACCTACAACGCATAGGTGCTGTCCTTCTTTCCACATAATTATTGCTGGTATTAGTCCTGACGCTGTGCGATTCATTATCCTCGAAAATAAGATACTTTTATTTATTGTTTCTAAACCATTTAAATAGATGATCTATTTTATCATCAATGACATTATATATATGTTAACTGAAATTAATTTGTATAGCAAAATGAAAAATAGCTCTTGGTAAGTTGAAGTGGTATTGCACTATTTCTATTACCCTTATTTTTATTATAGATTTAAGTTAAACAAAGGCGGCTAATCACATGGTTTTTTGTTTTGCTATATTGCAGTATCTATTACGTCTCGTCGACCAGAGTGGACAAGGTCTTCATAAAGACCTCCCAGTAACTACGGGTGCTACAGGCAATATTGAAAAGCCACTGGAATCAGGACGGGTCTTGCGGTCACCCAACCTTCAAGTACTATTGTTGACGGTTTCTTTAAAAAATCGATCATACGTACAGTCATTATATATACGAATTCTGTATCTAATTATTTGATTAAGTATTAACGTTTATGTCCTGTATTCTATCTAGGTGAAGTTTGATGAACTTGAATGCGAAGGTGGCATCCAGTCTGGAAGTGGAACGTCAAACGGTGCCCTTTATAGCCAAAACGATTGCATCGTATTCATGTTTAAGATGAACCTTCCTGCAGACTTTATAGAGAGAATGTGAGCTCGCTAAAATGGAGCTTAATGCAACTAAGTAAGCCTTTTTTGCCTATTTGTCCGGATCATTTATACTATGTCATGAAGATTAGGTGCCGTGAGCAATGACACTTTCAGTCTTCAAACTAACAATGTTTTTTCAGAGAACGATGAAGATGAGCTGCGTCTACTTAATATATCAACTGAATTCGAATGCTTCGGCCCGACTGAGAGGTTGGGGCATTTTTAAGTATTTACTTGATTATTTTGAACGACTTGGATGCGAAGCCATGGGCAAAAAGTTGCCCGTTGCCCGACAGGTCTCAGCCTAAGTGAAAGTCTCTATTTCAGTTCTATCGTAAAACTACGGTGAATTTAGGTTTGAGCTCATACTCAAAAATGATTGTTGCAATATTTGACTTCTATACTGGCTTCAACAAGTATTGTTACTTAACCTGATTATGCTATTAACTCACGCCTACATAGTTCTAAGTGTACCTAAATGTTCGCTACCGGTATTTTGTTCAAACGTAAAATGAGCCTGAATTCTGACAATCGTTGGTCCTGTGATACAGATCGACGCTTGTCCTTCAGGTTGACCAATCCGGCAACTGTTATTTGTGATAGCTGAGAGTGGAAGCCTGCGTGCGCTGTTATTCATTAACCAATCGACCGGTGTACTTTTAGCTAAATTTAAAAAACACAGAAACCTTTAAATTGTATGGTCATGTAGAAATGGTTACGACTTCGTATCTTTCACGCATGGTAAAATAAACGATTATTGAAAAAGCCTTAATATTTTTCTATGTCCATATATGTTTTTAGTTTTATTTCATCACCATCTACCATTCTAATATAAATGTTATGTACATGCAGTAGTTTGGGTCTTTTGGGGTCAAACGGCTCCTGCCATAAATACAATCTACAAGCCTTTATTAACATTGTTACGTGGTCTCCGTGCTTTATAATAATATAAAGTGTACACGTATTTATTACGTGAAAAATTAAAGGTAACTATATCTAATCAGTATTACTACTGCAACCCAGAACTGCTTCTGCTAGCAACGAGCTAAAAACATGCTTGCCTTTTCGATAAATAGCACACGTTCTATGCTACACGCCGAATCCCCTAAAGTTACGGAATAAAATAAGCCTCAAGTTAAAAGATGTTCGATAATTGTGTGGTTGCTACCAGTGTGACGTCCATGCGCATGTCCGCAAACCGTTGACAACATACTTTTTCGTAAGAGCTGAAAATCATTCAGTTAGATGAGCTTTTAGTTGAAAAATGTCTACATATTGAAGGTCAGCTGATCCTAAAGGAGGTTTATTTCGTTGAGCAGAGGGTCGCGGCTCGAGTGGTTCATTTGTTGCCATTCTCTCACAAATAAATACAAAATTGGATACAAATATATCGTTCTTGAAATGAGCTTGATCTGCCTTTAGATCAAATGCCCAATAGTGAATATCTTAAATAAACTCGGTTATTGAACACTTTTTTTTATTGGGTGCGATTTGTCCCACGTTGAATTCTGCTACAGCAGTAATAAATGTACTATTACTGGGCACTGTTTTCAAGTTCGATATGACCCTATTGCGGGTTATTGCGATCAGTTCATTCTAACCGTAAGTCGTATTACCAAGCTTACCCAATCAATGCGTATATCTATCCCACTTGTGCAGCTCATAGCTACTACGAGCTACAATAATGGGTCGCCCTTGATAAGTGGTTTCTTGTACGAAATAAAATCGTTGATCTGCTGATGCCCTGAAGGGCTTAGTGCTAAGGTGAAGTCTTATTTCAGTATATAGCTTGCCTCTATACAGTAACAATTTGATTGGTGTTAGCTATGTATTTAGTGGTGGTAGATCAAGCTCTTTTGCTTGTGCGAAAATGAAGTGTCCAATGGATTACCTGAGGCGGCGCATAAAGATACAATTTAGATCTTCGATGCGTTTCACTATACGTTCTTTCGTTAGGAAGAAAGCATACTAGTGACCGTACGCATGATTTGCTGCGCCATGTGCTTTCCAAATGTTCGTCCTTCGCTGTTTCAGTCTAGGACAAACCGCGCAGGCCATATTAGCGCGATTACTGCTCTGTATGTAACAGTTCAACATGTTTAGTGGTGCAGAAACTTGATTTTATGCAGACTGTGACTGTAGTACGTCGCACAGGATGCGTTCAATAGGAACTGGACCGATCGTAGAGCGGAAGTACACATCTTCGAGAAGGGAAGTCCTTGCGGACCGTAGAGCTCCAAGAAGGAGTAGCAAACGATGAGCTCGCGATATCGATAATGCTGCCAAGCCACGTTGCGAATCCTCTGCGGGAGACGACGCCGATCCTTGCCTATTTTCTTGACGATCCTGTCGGTTTGCACTCTTCCTTGACGCCTCGTGAGCTGCTAGCGCCTCTAATGTCTGTTCCTGAACACGTTCTACGTGCGCCACGTCGTAGAGGCCAGGCAATTCTGAAGAAAGATGAATTGAAATCTATCAAGAGTGAAAACCCTTCGATACTTATCGTCGGGAAAAAATGATAGGCGTCATCAAGTTACGATGCCGGATGAAAGGATTCGTTCATTCGGTCTGTGTTTCGACTTACCAGGACGAAACAATGCTAAAGCTTTTAAACATGCGAATTCAGTCTCGTCCGTTTCCATTGTGATTAGCTGATGAAGAGTTTCCCGCAAAATGTGTAATTGTTTACGGCTAGCAGAGCTCGCTGGCTCATTCACGATACAACCTGTAACAAACAGTTGCAATCAATCCCTCATTGGTAAAGAACACAACTTTATTGATCGTGTGAATATTATGGTTCTTGCAGTAAAATTAACGAATACGTATGCTATACATAAGCACAGTGCTTCCTGGTAAAGCTGGTCGCTGTATTTGGTCGTTCACGTTTTCGCCGACGTCAAACAGTGAAGTGAGACAAAGGCTTTTACCCATTCTACATGTTATAAGATCGAACTTAGTGTTTGTGATGGATAAACATTTGAGGACCAATTCCACTGTTCTGATATGGATCCATTCTGGGGCTGTATCAACATTTGTGCAGCGCCCCAGAGCTCTCCAAAGATCATCCATAATATTCGATATTTTACGCACAGAAAAAAGGTCCTTCATGCTTACACAATTATATATATATATATATATATATATATTTTGCAGCCGATAAGCAGCGCTTGTGGCAAGATGGTTATTAAACAAATTCCTTGGTTACACTATATGCAGTGGCTATTTCGTTCGCGAAGTGTTTTCTGCTAGCAAATCCGCTACACAAAAAACAACCAGACGTATGTATGTAAGATTAGATAGTAAATGCATAGAAACTTACCGTGAGTAGGTAGCTCGAAGCGAGATTGGGCAGCTGTGCACAAAAACACTTCAGCCCAAGAGTGTTCCACGAGCAAGGTTTGATCCGGACAAGTCAGTTGCTGAAAGGCTGGCATCGAGCGGGTCCATCTCATTGTGCAGAATAATAGCTTTGCAGCGCTTTCCTAAGATACGCGATTGTGAAGTTATATTGAAAATTCGAAGTGGTGAGATAGACGTGTAGGGAAATTTCGGATAGACTTTTGTAATATATATATATATATATATAAGATAATCTTCAGTCCATTCCGAGGCAGTAAATAAATAACATCGAAATGTTGTGATTTCCAACTGCCGAACTCAATCACAGTCTTAAAGCTAAATGTGTGACTTTTGTCATATGGTTACTTGAGTGTAACATATTCGATTTTTTTGTATGAACCTGAAACTCTGAGCAAGACATTCAAAGCGTACCTGGGGGTTCTCGTCCGGAGCGGGGTGTGAGACAAACGGATTTGCTGAAGGTAGACTGGCAACAGGAGATTTCCCATCTCTACTTGATGGTGATTTCTCGGCATCTCGTTCCGGTGAAGCCGCCTGAAGAGGCGACAGCGAAAGCTCCTGACGCGTATGGCCTTCTTCCGCGCCCTTCCCGTTTGTATTAACCAACTCGACTGCAGTCTCCGACCACAACGAGATCGCTGTGGGTGACGCGTCCGTTAGGGAAGGTGGAGGCCGATTCAATAGCTGATAGGCGGCATATACTGCTGATGATGGGAGAGGCAGCTCAGTAGTAGCCGCTAACGGAAATGCCAAATTCGAGATGGAGTCGAGGAGTCGCCGACGAGGACCTGAACGCGGGGCGCGTTCATGCTGAACCGCTGTAGTATGGTAATCATACCAACGATCGAATAGTTATTAATTGTTACTAGGCTAAAAATATTAAATTGAGTACAAAAAAAACAGGAGGCGGCGTTCAGTGCTTTGTATGAAAAGCTTCCGGCTTGAAACAGCTTTTCACGCCAATCCGGGGGCCAATTAGTGTAACGTGAGCAGACGACAAGAAACAAGTCATTTGTTGATGACGTGACTTGACGTGGCGCGTTAAAAAGCTATCAATAAAAAAAGTCTTTGATTAGCTAGCGTAGTAATTAGATTGGAGATTACATATATATATATATATATATATATATATATATATATTCGCACGGGAAAATAGTATATGAGGACACAATTAATACAAAATTAGATACAATTAAGGAAATTTTTAATATGGAGGCGAAAGGATAAGTCAGGTATTTCTATGAGGAACGACATCATTTGTTGGATTTGTATTTAAAAAAAACAATTACACAAAGAATCCAGGGGTTCACATAAGTTAAAATTATCAAAAATGAAATCCCAGAGTCCAAGGTCGTTAAAATTACTTTTTGTGCTTTCTCAGTGACACTTTAAGCCTGTTTAGTCTTTCTCTCTGAACAGTTGATATAACAGTCTTACATTCTTGCGAGGTAAACTTTCCTGATATCGTTTACAAACCCTACTGATATCATAAAGTGCTGATTCTTGGCGACCAAGGAACTTATTATTTTTTTCAGGGACCTTGACTATGAGGAGTTCAAAAAATTGCTGTTTTTGGTGATGTTTTTAACTCCCCTTTACCGACTGAATTTGTTATTGTAGATAAGATTAAACATGCCGAGTTTTATGTTTGGTTGTAATACGTTAGTCAATCGCTGCCTCAGATGGTTGGCGCCCAGCACAAAGTAGGCCGTATGTCTATGTTCAACCTGGAACCTAGACCTCACTTTAACACTGGAACACGCTATCGTTACGACATTAACACGGGGCTCAGGTAAGGCGAACCTAGTTTATAATTGTTTATTCAGGAAACTTGCCTTGTTGGTGTTCTTTTGAAAATGTCGTTTTGAAAATAGATCATTTCAATTAGTTCTGCATACAATAACACAAACAATACGACATTTGTAGTTCAAAGCATATATACTCAATAACAGACTCTTGTTAGCTTTTGCTAGGAATATATACTCCGGTATCATCGGTGGATTTTCAGTTTACCGTCTTACTGCTTTGGGTAGAGATGCTTGTGTATATACAACGAAAATGGCTCACATAAGGGCTTGAAGTAAATGTCTGCACTTTGAAAGGTGGGCGCATGTTGCGCTGGGAATGACGCTTGCCACCGGAAGTAAAGCGGCGACAGGTTGTCAACTGCAGGACAGACATACCCCAAAAAAAAAAGGTTATCTGCTATGCGATATTTAGTTGAGAGGATATTTTTGACCAAATTACATAGATAGCGTAGTTTCAGAAAACCTCTCGTTCAGTAAAATGGTATGCAAAGGTTTGTCGTCACTGCATTTGTCTAATTATGGGGTACACAGTAGATCTGTTGCGATCTTCAAGGTAATTTCGAATGGAACTCCTGCTACATCTTCTGTCTGAGTATCCCTTATTCGTATTCCAAGGGACTTGGCGATGATACCTCTAAAGCTTTGATTATCGCGCTGTAGCTTTTGAAACTTTACATAAACCGTTGGAAGCAACTGTTCCCTTAGTAGCGCCTTGGTTAACCGGCAAGTGTTTAGGTATCTTATATAAACCTTGCGTGTGTTTAAATTGTTCTACGTAAGTCACACCATCTTATGAGAACTCGTTTTTTTTTTTCCTCTATATATACCAGCTACTAACAAGGGCCTAATAATTATCAGAGTATGCGATACAAATTACCTCTAAAGCTACTGCTGTACCAAAATAAAAATGGTACATGTTGCCTTTCTTAAAGCCCAGATATTGGTAGCCTTGATAACCATCATTGTTTACGTGGAAACACCCATATCTTTATTGTCGTCTAGACAACGACCTTCAACACGGCTCATGTTAATCGGAGAGGCATGTGCCTGCTGAAAATTGACTTTGCCAAGGTGTCCCGTTAGCTAGATTAGTATTTCCTAGCTGGACACTTTTATTTGTTACTTTCACATTACAAAGTTCGCCTATACGGACGATGTTCAATTGTCGTCCAGGCCTATTGAAGCATACTTCGAGATACGTCATCATCATTGCAAAACAAGCTAGTACTGCCTCATTTGAAACGGCCAAATCAGGTTTTCAAGGTCCACTAAGCAAGCCCTAGGTTAACGCAAGACGTTTGATATCGCTAACAGGACAATGAAGTAGTTTAACAAAATACGAGTGTACGGTAAATATAATTTTTTTTTAACAATTCCTACTTCAATAAAATAACAAGTTCTCTAGAGTGTAAACGGTGTTATTTACGGCACCCATTTGTAGAGAGCAATATTATTATTCAGTAATACGCAGTTAACTTTTCTAGGGTGTCTGTGGAAAAGTGTGTGTGAAAGACTATTTTTACTCTGTCATCAGCGAGTGCTGTTAGCTGTCCACGCAAGATGTAATGAGCTATACTAAAAAAGTTGTAAACATTTTCTGTTGCGGTGGTTTATTGATATTGTTTGATGCGAATTTCCGATTGCCAGTATAAGGCTGTAAATTTTGTAAAGTTTTTATAGGTTCTATACGACATATTTAACAATAAACAAAAATAATCGGCGGAGAGACAACAAAAACAACTATACTAATAGATAATGTTAACGGGACACTGCCTGTTCTATTCTAACGGTCTGTTTTTGGGCTGACGTCAAAAATAGTCGTCAGCATCCGTTGGACGAAATCCTTAAACGTCGTAGAAGATAATAGGTTTTCAGCTTTTCTGTTAGGAACTTGAACAAGTTTCGTAGCTCGATAGTATCATAAATAGGTTAGTTTTTTCTATTTATCTGCAGGTCACTCACATATACCTTCTCGACGCATGTTGACTGCGAGACATTTTTTAAGGCGACAAGCTTGGCACTGGTTTCGGCGGGCGACATCCACAACACAGAGGCCCCCTTCCTTGCAAGCATAGTGCAGATTACGCCTTACGGAACGCTTGAAAAAACCTCGACATCCATCACAGGACGCTACCCCGTAATGTCTACCGGAAGCGCGATCACCGCACACCCTACACAGTGGCTCCCTTTCTAGAAATTGACACAATAAGAGAAAAATAACTTACTCGATTTAACCTAAACCATACGTAAATATCAATAATTTGCCTCTGCCTAGAATGTGCGTTGAAACGTAAAAAATAGAAGCCTAAAACGGCAATATTAACGTTAATGATCCATACATTTTTCTCACATCTTAGAAAGCCTAAACATAAAGTAGAACAATAACTTGCCGTTCCTCTGTTGACCTGTACCTTCCATGGCGATGGCCACTGTATCCATCATTTTGTTCAAAAACGTAACAAATGACTAAAAGCATTTTGGGCATGACAATTAAAGCAAGCTTTTTACCTACCCTTTTACCCCCCGAGAACTCATATATAATCCGTGTTTCTACTGCATAAAATAGTCCTGATACAGGTAATGCCGGTCGCTTGATTATATTGTGCTATGTATGATTGCATTTGTACGGCAATTACTTATAGAGACACCGCGAATCAAAGATAAATCATTGTTAGACAAATAATAACATCTGAGCTGTTATGTCAAGCGTCTGGCTTTAGAACTTCACTTTTTCTGAGCAAGAGTAGCAAAAGATTATTGAACTTCATTAACCTTCAGCCATTCGGTAAGCAGGATTCTGTAAAGAAGACCGTAACTGTTATCTTAAAAGCATAGAACTCTTTCGTTGTAACAAGTCTTAAATGGACGTTCTTATAGATTGACCCAAAAGAACATAAACGTAAAAGGGTTGATTTATGCATAGGCAAACTAATCTAAAGTCTGAATAGATCACAACTCAATCAGAAGACTGAGAAAATTCAGGACAGAGCTTATAACAGCTTTATAATGATATCAACTTAGATATTTTTATCAATCGGAGCTATAGATTACTAAAAACAACAAGACTCAATCAGACTGATACCGGCCACGATCCAGCATAACTGTTAGAGATAATATTATGCTCTAGGGAGTATTTACATTTTAGCAATAGTATGGCAAGAGATCTCAGGAGATCCTGACCCCTGGCTAATATTCACCAATTCTAATTTGTTAAATTCAAATGTGCCAAGGAAAACTGTTTCTTTTTTTATCTCTACATCTTTCTAATTATTAGAATTCTTAATACCAGCTTGCTGCGTATAGGCTTGATTGAGGTAGATAAGATTTGATTGTCCAGAGCTAATATATCGGTAACTGGATTCGACAGCGGCACAGACACTGCGTCTTATTTGAGCTCAGAGACTTTAGCTCTTATAGAACAGAAAAAAAAATCAAGGCCGTATGAACTTTTCTTAAAAGCTCACGTGTATAAGCGTTTACTATTTTCGAAATATAATCGTCAATTCTGACAAAAAGTTATTTAACCAACTGTAACTTACTATTATTCATAAAATGAAAAAATCTCGACTGAAGGACGTCTCACTCACGTTCAAGACCAAGCTATTCGTTTGTCATTAGATAATTAGCAAGAAAGTTCCAAAGATAAAGAATTTCAAAGTTCCAGGTTACCGAATGACTCCGGAACCAAAATAACGAATCTCGGCCAACTCTTCCAAGTTAAGTTTTAACTGAATCGGTAAAATCTATTTTCATTTAAAGCCGTTCAGAAATTTGTGCAAAAATTGTCTGTTACCCTACTTTCAATCTGGTGTACACCGGTTTGAAAAAAATCATCGCTAAATCAGCCTCGTGATGCCTTGTTATAGTCATATACGTCGCTAGGTAGAACTGTACAGACGACTTATCTGTGGGTATATTGTTTGAAAATCGATTTGTTGTAGGCGGTTGTTGGTAAATTTGAACAGAAAACGTTTTTTTCTCATCTTTGTGGCATATCTCCCGGACATTTTTCACTGAAAGAAGGTTTTTTCTGTCGGAAGCACGAACTTGTAGCGTTTCGGCTATAACAGCACAGTCTATCTACCTCAATGTAATCTATTATTATGACTTATCTTTAATATCTATTTATATTGCCGATATGCTGGCCCCTGGGCAAGACCAGTTGCTCGTCTAAGCTGGTATTTGAGAATGGCAAATATCGGATGAGTAAATTCTTACTAACGCAGTTAGATTGCATGGTCAAGGTCGCCATATCAGACATGTCGAAGCTGGTTAATGGTCTGCAAGCATCCTCACTGCTCTCGGTCTCTCCTCTAAATGTAGCTAGTGATTTTAAAACACGCCCGGACCGACCAACTGAAATTGCACATCACTACTATGAGACACGTTTTGGACAATACTCTCTGGATAATCAACCCGAACCCCCATGTTGCTACCGACGCTTGAGGGGCACGCCGGATCTTTGGTTACTGATGTGTTAGCAGTGACTATTACTGGAAGTGAAATTTGCTTCCTTTCAAGAAATAGCTCGTAGTATGCGGGCCCCGTGCCAATAGGACTAGAAGCGAAGCTCTGTAGCCTCGCTCGGCGAGCGCAGAACACTAGTAGAAGTGCAGTTGGACGATGGATGGATGGATAATAAACAACGAACTCAGAGCGGCACCCTCACAGCCCCCTACCACGCAGCTGTTCGAATGTATACCCAACAAGCTGGATTAATCATTTCACTGGTATGTTCGGTGAAAGCCATCGTTCTCTGCAGTCGGTGAATACGTAGCAGAGCGCAGCGTGCTTCATTATGCTAGAGATCCTGTAGGCCTTCAAGAACCAGCAGAACAACAACACAGCGGAACTCAAGTTCTGATCCTTTGTCGGTAAGCACTCCTTAATAAGTGGCGCACTCTGACGGCGAGATGAGGAAATGCCTCGACTCCCAAAAGCGAAAGCGAGCCAGCTTTGCCATTGTCATGGTACGAAATCACTAACAAGAGCGTATGCTACAAGCTACTCGCTCGTCTGCTGATTAAGAGAAACATTTTCTTTTTTTTTTTCGAAATTTCTATTTATTATTTCAATAATCTATTTGTTATTATTATTATTTTTTTTTCTTCGGAGAAAGCGTTTCGCAAAGACAACATGCAGTGTGCTGATGATGGGCATTAAAAAGGCAGTAAATACACAAACGCGCTCCTTACACGCGGTGTGCGTCGATTTTGAAGGTCGCCTTCGACTCTACATCTAAAGATATGGTTCAGCATGGCTGTATAATGGAATATAATCCTACAGGAGAAAAAAGATAAGCATTCACGGTAGGGTGATGGAGCTGCACCGTTTTTTCAGAACGATAGGCCTGGCCCCAAGTGTTAATCTGAGCCCTCCGTCTATTTCTAGTCTAACATAGAGATTTCCCTAGGAAAACAAAAAGCCCAAAAAAGCCTGGTCAAGGCTATCCTCTACGTGAATAATATAGACATATACGGCTCTAGCAGATTTCAACTGTGGCATCCCCTAGCTGAGCTTAACATGACAATATTTAAATTGACGATACGAACTGTCAACCTGGAAAATCGTCGAGGGAACGCATGATCATGGCTGAAACTATACGGCCTCTCGTTGGATCTCTCCTTCAGTACGTCAGTTTTCCGTATCTCAGGCCACTTAACTTTTGCAGTGGCTGTAGTTTCATCTCGCACATCACAGAAAAATATTAAAATGTCCTCAGCCTTGTAAAAGCGTTCCTCCCATTTAATCATTAGCGGCTTATAGGGTAGATGAAATTTGCAAGACTTGTACAATAGAAGATCTCGCATTTCGTAACCAAATTAAGATAACCTCTTTGGGCCTTCATTAACTGGCAAGAAGCTGAATAATTTATTCCCTTGCTGAATAATTTACTCATTAAAGACTTTGAATTTTGCTTTAGGTTTCTGACAACGGAGGGTTTTTCCGAGTACCTTACCAGGTGGGAACGGAAGTTCACCGAACTGTTTAGCAGCAGCGTGATGAAAGATGGCGGTTGAAATAGCCAAAGCGAATACTTTTCGCTTTTCGCGATTCACAGGTTCTAAACAGGCGTCTTCATGAACCTAATACAAATGTATTTGTAGCAAATGCTGGCCGAACTGTAATTAAAGTACTATGCAGGTTGCTAGCCTTTAGTACTTTCGTTCGCAAGTCTGAAACCCTGAATCTATCACAGGCTCAGAACTTACTTTTAAGCCTTTTAACTTTTTTAACCTATGAGTATTACAACTGCGAGGGCATATGAGTAAATATCTTTTGAGTGAAGTATTTTGTTATGTATAGTTTTGTACCGATGATGTTGTTGAATACGTGTGACCAGGGGGTGAATAGATGTGTAGCATCTACGAGCACAACTAGAATCTGACATGTAATGGATACGAATCTCAAGACTCGATAGGAACAACTGAGTAAGTTCAAAACGATGATCTCTAGGAAGGTGCTCGCAATTACTCTTCACGTTTAATTCAGAAATGTTTTATCAGGTGACTTCGTGACTCGTGGAAATTGAGCTTTTGTTTGTTCCGTGTCGATATAGCTGTTTGTGAACGTTTTTTTCGATCGTCAGAATGTCGCCTACACGAGAAAACCTTCTTCCAAACGAAACTTCTTCCGATTGTATTAAGCCAACACTACGTTTGAATATAATTCACTTCTGGCGCAAACTCTTTCGGTGCTCTCCGGCCCAACTAGAAGGATTACGAAGTCAATTCAGACTGTTGAAATCCTGAATCTATAAAGAGCATTTTGAGATCGCGTGGTAAGGCAGGGGGGCAATGTTTAGGCGTCTGCGCGTCTTAATCTATTCTCCGGAGCCACTCATCTACACTGTTTGCGAGGCCGCTTGAAAGACACACGTAGATCTCGCACTGAAACGTCTCTTAGATGGGTACAAACGTAACCTCTCGAGGTTGTTTTGCCTCTAGCTCTTTACTTGCTGAAACATAAACTGGCACGTCTGCGCTAGCGGCACTTTGTCTGTCGTGCGTTGTATCTCTGTAGTAGATTAGCGGTGCGGTTACTTGTGTGTTAATCTCGAACGACGCTGACCTGACCTGAGCTCGATCGAGCACCTGCCAGTTTAGTTGTTAACAGTGTGCAAATGAGTGCTAGCCCTTGTAAATTCTCGATTGGAAAGAAACGGTGCCCGACGATAAGTTCGTTTGTTTTTTCTGGCTGATCTTTGATAAAGCTGCGAACTAATCCTAATCTGGTATGCTGGATTATCATCAGTGGACTTTGTCCTTCTTAACGAGCTATTTATTATATGACGGAGGAGTGCTCATATTGCGTAGATGTTTCACACTGCACTGAATTATATTGTATTGAAGATTATTTTCAAATATCTTCCGTTTAAGACAGAGCAATAGAGCAAGTAACTAAGCTATATGGATAATTCGAGTCTCTATATAGGCATTTTTATGGAACGTGCTTTATATATATTTAGTTAGTTTGATGGCATCACCATCACCTTTATATCTCTCAGGTACATTAAATCTATACTTTGTCAGAATAGTCATAGCGAGCAGGAAATAAAGTTACCTTTTCTATAATTTCACGAGATATGAGGAAACTCTTTAGACCTGCAATTCATGAAGCCTGATTATGCACCTCAATGACACAGACACGGTCTCGCTTAACTATTATTACTTACTAGGAGCTACCTTCCTGAACTCCTTTAAAATATATTTGCGCTAAGCTAATGTACGTATATGAGTTGATACTTTAAGTTTGACGTGCAGAACTACGTTGACATTAGGTCGGATAAGATAAAAGTAGAAAGCTATCTTTTGTCTTCGGCTATTCTCGGTTCTCCTGCTAGGTCCCAGCCTTTCAACCTTTTCTTGATAAAACCATTGGAATCATCGACGGTAGATAAAATATCATTGTAAATAGTTATTTGAAAATCTATATTAGATTAAGTTTGTTGGTAACGTTCCGTGTCTTGAAATAACTTCTAATAAAAGCACGACGGACAAGCAATGACGGACACAGCTTGTTTTGCCCAACTTATTTTAATAATATCCAAACTCTAAAACAGGATTTACTTTCGTACTAAATCTGTAATGGCTTTTGATAGCGGGTTTTATTTTTCCTCAAAGTAGAGCACCGGCTAGGATGTAATGTTATTTAAATTAAAATTTTGGTATTACAACATGATGTAGGGCCAGGTAAGTTTTCCTCAACAAAATAACTATCAACAAAATAAGTATAAGTTCTAGGTTTCTAACAAAATAAGTTCTAAGTTTCAGTTTAGGAGCGTAGATAGAATATAACTTATAGATTTTTAACATCTATAGAATCTTCAAACTTTCTATTGATTACAGATACTAGTCTGAAACAATGCCACAGCTAAAGGCTCATATTCACGATAGACAAAAGCGTTTTAAACCTAGAAACTCGAATATAATTCGCTTTAGGAGGTAAAAAGTAATGAACTTTAAGTAATTTACCATCAGTATTGATATCTATAGATATTTGCTAGGTAATGGGACTATTGAATGCAGGAACAAGGACATTCTCGTTATCAGTGAAATTCTGGAAAAAAAGAGCACACGCAGAGATAGAACGGAACACTTGAGGATTCGTAAGCGCACCAACCCGGTTTATCCGGTGCAAATTTCCTATCCGGGCATCACGTCAGCAATGATAATCTAGATTTGTCATATTTATGAAAGAACTTCGTGACACTCCAGTTCCACAATATACAGCTTTCTCACTAACTTGAAGACTCACCTTTGTTTAGCTGGGTTGCAATTCCTGGCGACGTCGTGTGTCTAGCTAGGGGTAACATGATGTTAATACTGGAGCTGCACTTTTTATAGATGAACGCTAGCTTCAAAGTTTTCCTTATATATAGATTTAAAGTTTTTACGGGGTCACTTGTTGTCGGACTTAGTCTTAGAGTAAAGCAAATGTTTGTCGTTTTTTCTACTTTCGACTGCTATAATCATACCGCCAATTTCACTATTTACGAAAAAGGGACAATACCTCCTATTATCCGCTCTGCCGGATCAACCTATACACGATTCGCTACATAGACGCTTGTTTTTCGTCGTTGCCTATGCTAGCCTATGTTAGCAGTGTAGCTTTTTTTTTCTAGTTAACTTTTTTCTGTAATCAATCCGCTTCGGCGTGTCCTTTTCTATCATGCAACGTCATGTACATGAGCAATCATTTGGTTAATCCGATCTTAATAGTCAGTGAAGTCTCTACTACTGTCCTCTGACTGTTCTTGGCGATGGAAGCACAATGGAGTGGTAGCGCTATCGTGGTAGCGAACAGGCGATGCGAAGCCGGCGCGTAGTCGTCAGTGCCGGGGGTCAGCTTGGTCGCGTTCACCGCTCTGGCGCTGCTCTGCTGGTCTCGAGGTCGGTGAGTCGACGATTCGCCAACTGGACACGACCCGAGACAGCTGGAGGCTGCCGCCCAGTAGACGGCGGTCGACAGGGCGTGGGGCGTCGAGCAAGGGCCGAGACCTCGGTGAAGACCAACTAGGATCAGGGGTCGCACCAACGCGCTCGCATAATGCCAGCCGATGCTATCCGATTGGCCGTCAGAGCAATTGGAGGGGCGTGGCCCGGAGCCGCACTCCCATTGGTCGTCGTTCTACTCGACGCCGGCCTTAGATGGGCAGGAGTTCGGGCTGCTGCAAACAGCAGGCGACTGCTGGAACGCTGATGAAGCGAATGGAGCTGATAGGGCTGATGATGGCGGACGACGAAACAGGGGCAAAAAAAGGGGGTGGGGGCAAAGCCAAATGCACAGATCATGTTTTATTATCTTTTATCAGCCATGGCGGTGCTAGTGGTGTGAGCCTAGCCAGCGATGCCGACTGAGGGCCTATCGTCGCTGTGCATTTGAGAGCGGGGACTGTATCACAACAGGGATCGCTGTGGGTTGTAGCCACGGTAGGGGGTGCGGTGGCAAAACGCCGCGCAAACTCAAGTGCCTTTTACCACCTCTCTCCAAGCTCTAGCCGCCTGCCTTTCGACTCCCTGGCCCCCTCCCCCCCCGCGCGTGCTGCTTTAAAGGGCGACCGAGTTTGTCGTTAGCCAGGATAGCCGATTGACATTGGCAATTCTTTGCTTTTGAGGCGTAGGCGAGCCCTAGCGTTAGAAAACTACGTTAGCTGAAAATGAGCGAATGGAAAAGGCTATGTGAATAGAAACCGCACACCAATAAAGTAAACCTCTAATATGCCTGCGATAAAACACATTATAGTCCATTTATACTGATAGCCCTCTTCTTAATCGCGGATCTTAAATTCAGTAATAAATAGCTCCATTGGGAAGGTAGATTCAATCGCTTGCAAATTGCCCGAGTAATCGTGCCCATTCAATGCTGCTGCGAAGTACGGTCTATGTGCATTGAAGTAAGTCAACATCTGGGAATATTGATCTCAAAAAACTGGGTTTTGCATCGGAATTAGATGTAAGTATAACTAATAGGCTGAATTAAATGAAGGCCCTTAATACTGGGGTTAGATTCGCGTTCAGTTCCTATTAGTAATACCCAAAGCGATATAGTGTAATCAAATACATTTATAGAAAGTTAACCGACTTGATATAGTAACTTCTGAATGAACAATAGTCATTATTTTAATGTGGATTTACTAGGTAAATGAATTAGGGGCTCTGTAGTTTTGGTCACCTACTATGGCTCTTATTATCAGTTCTACGTATTCCATCAAATGGTAGCTACCAAAAAGAAACCCTTTTTCATATATGATCTTACCTGCATACTATACTGAATATGAAGACTCTGCGGGGTATACTAAAACGCCAGTCAAGTCTAGATAAATATTTGTGGGTATATAACGCGTAGATAGACTTTCCTGGGCATTTCAACGTGACCTGTGGTCTATTTACAGCGAGTTTTTATAGTAATGTGACAGCACCGTTTGAGAATACTAGGGGGATGCCCTGTCCGTAAAAAAATACGTCTGGGCATTTTTCAATAGTTTATGTAGAAGTCATTTGCCACAGTAAAGGTAACAATCGTGAACCAAACGCATTTCGTAAGATCTATTTTCACTATACATTTCTAAGACTTTCACAAAGGCCGACTTCCGTGATATCTTTTAGATTTTAACTTGGACAAATTATTGTGCCTGGGAAATCCACTCTAGAAAAACTATGTTTTTTTTTGTTATTCTGATATTTTTTTTTTTTTTATAAGAAAAGGTTCCGATTTGCCCAGCATAAATAATAGCGTAATCTCCTTTTCCATGGATCGAATCTGTAATACTCAGCTGTCTTTTAAGTTCTTCCAAATCTTCGAGACAAATGTACTCTCAGCCTTTTAATACGTTTACCAGTATTTGTCGAAGCATCTACCCGTTCACGGACGAAAGGATGGTCCGTGTCGCAGAGCGCCGAACAAATCAACTCGGTGAGACAAGTCCGCGTAATCGTATTTACCAGACACAATTGCCTTATTATAAAAAGCTCCATATATGTCTATATAATCAGGCGTTAAAGTCATTAACTCTTTGAAAATGAGAGGTTCCGTGTTTTCGTCGTCGATTGATCTCCGCTTTTCCTTGTTCGTTCACTCGTTCTAACAACTAACGCGTACACTAAACATTTAGGCACGTAAACAGAATTCGAAATACTTCTGCGAACAGAAATAGGTAGCCGAACTCATGTAACGCGTTCTAAGCAATAGCACCTTCGAAAAAGGTGCTAGGCAGAATATCAATTCAAGAAGCTTGGCTGATATTATTGGTACGTTTTGGTTAACTTCGAAATGTATTTTGGCGCAATTTACGTTTTTTTGGATCAATTTCAAAGGAGAACTACTTCTACAGTATACAAAATATAATGAACAGCATTAGAAAGCTCACACCTGCACCAATGGTGTACGAGATACAATATACTGAAAATATCTTGAAGCAATTCGGCTCGCTATCCGAGGCTCTATCCGAACTCTATTGTCTCTATATCTCAACTTATGCTCTTAAGATAATTTATCTTCTTTCCTCTCACACTTGCTTTATAAATTTAAATTGTTAAACGTTGTTTTAGTATTTTCTCAAAGACGACCGCCCTACCTCAGGCCTTATACCTACACATTGGAACTTTCGCATAAATCTAGATAAAAGTCAAGCATTGCCAAAAAAAAAATCTCCAAAACGATATTGTTTATGTGGTGGCTAAGACTCTAACTTCTGGCATTCAGCGGCCCTTTGCGATACCTGGGCTTTTTTTGCGTATTTTTTGGTAATTTTTAGTAGTTTACGTGCATTCGCGAGGCTTGTTACTGCGGGGAACTTTTATGGTTCGTGCTAGCAGCGATGAGCATTGCCATATTCAGCACATTGCTTCTATATATTACTGGCTAATTTTAAAAAAGAAGAGCAAAAACGTGACGAAAAGTTCTCGTCTACATCTCTACGTGTATTAAGTAGCGTGTAAGAATGAGATGTACGCCACCGAACTACATTACACTCCTCTTCCCATTTAGTACTTTTCTAGAACATATCCCATCACTACATGTCTGTTCTAGTTTAGGAAAAATTCAACCATTTGATGATCTGATAACATCATGAAAACAGGGACATTCATATATTGAATAAGAGTAGTAATTATTATTGACAAACCAGAAAGTACGGTTAGGTTTGTGAATAGGTCGACACGGGCTGAAGAGAAGAGAACAGGACAGGGACCTTTGTCCAGCTAAAGACTTTACTGATAATGAATTAACACAAAACAAAATCGACTACGATCTAGAGTAGTGCTCTATGCGTCCTATTACATCTGGGACACACTCAGTATTGGTATAATGGTAGAAAACAAAGCTACATTCGATAGACCATACTGACAAACTCCGGTATCAATTTGAATTCACAGAACATTAATGTGTTCTTTGCCAATTGTATGTCCCGCCTCCTTTAAAATAACTACGATCACGACAGCAGATATCGTAATTACAACCAAGAGACAATACGCTATCAGATGTTACTAAGGAACCGAAAACAGGCAGGATTTCTAGGATGTCCGTTAAAGCCGAAAGCGACCCACAGCTGCTCTATCGATATTTTCGATTGAAACAAGCAAAGGCTACCCAATCCGTGATAGCCAATTTCAATACTATCATTCCGGTTAGGCTACAACGTAGAATTTCCAATGTTTATCGAAATAGCTACAATCTCTGTCAGTTCCTTCGCTTATCCTAGAAATATGCAAGATCCGCGGGGGCATGAAGATTGTTTTTACTGAATCACGAAGCAACGACATAAGCAATGAAGATTTAACGGATGGATTTTCACGGCGAGGTCCGTACAAAGAAATCGAATACTTGAATTTTACTGATCCAAGCTTTTTCAGTAAACTAATAACGTTTTAAGTTATTTGTAAAGACGCGTGAGTCTTCTTTTGCGATAAATATTCTTCACATTCGAGTTTGACAAGTTGCAGCCGCGCTAACCACTGACAGGATCCTGTGCTTAATGAATAGTCTTCAGAAAAATATGTTTCCTTATTATTATTGTTTCAGTCCAGATGAAGTAATTTCACTTCACCAACGAACAAGCAAGGATTTTTGCCTCATTATCTCGCACGTGACTGCCTACGCATAGATAAATGGACAGCCATACGTCATTCCAATCTCTCTGTATCTCAGGAAACTAGAAACGTCGACTACGCGGCTGGTAGACAGTCGACCGAGTCCAGCGGTAACCGATCGAACTTCATCGAATTGAGGTCGAAAGGCTTTACACCACACTTGCCGCATCCCACGATTATTGCCTCCACACTGTATTGTCCCTCGGGTATCGCCCTCAAACCTCACTTACATACTGCTTAGGTTCATCTGTGATAGTTCCATGGCCACGTCACAAAGGCCACACAAGTTTGCTGGCTGACTGACTGACTGACTATGCACGGTCGACAGTGCTACTGTTCCCC